TATATATATATATACATCGCGGCCTTACCAAGTTCACTAGGGTTACATTCTGAGCTCGTTGGGCACTGCAAATATTTTTGTCACTAGTTATGGGGAATGCGGACCTCTGAGCCGACGGAAGACCAGGGAGAGTGAACTCAAGGTATAGGGTTGAGGGTTTTGGGTTTTGGGGTTTAGGGTCGGGAAGCATGATAGGAATAGACAATTCCCAAGAGATCTACTGTAGAGGCCTAACTAGACTATGGCTTCCTTGCCTACTATAGTCTAACTACGTGGGTGGCAAGAAAGGAATATATCATTACTACTCGTTCAGGCCCCCTAAACCCTAAACCCTAAACCCTAAATCCCTAAACCTTAAACCCCCAAGGCCCCAACAGAACCCAGCCCTCTCTATTTTTGGTGGCCGCTGCTTGCAGAGGCAGTCTCCCACCTCCTGCTCTTCCGCTTGTCTCGCTTGCTGGAGCCCTCCAGGGTTTAGGGTTTAGGGTTTAGGGTTTAGGGTTTAGGGTTTAGGGTTTCAAGTTCAGGGCTCAGGGTTTAGGGTTTAGGGTTTAGGGTTTCGAGTTCAGGGCTTGGAGAGAGAACTAAATAAAGGGGCCGTTAGGGGCTTGGAAAGAGTAGATGATAAGCAAGAGAGCTAGGAGTTTTTAGGGTAATTATAAGGGGTGTGGGATTGGAGGGTTTGGGGGGGTGTAGCGCAGTGTAGGGTTCAGAGTTTGGAGTGTGGGAATCTGCCAACAACCAGCCCCGAAGCCACTTTCGGGCTGCTTCAGAATGCGTCAGCCGTGCAACCGGCTACGACATCCCGCCTTGGCATGCTTTTCGTCCTTCTTCTCCCTGTCCTTGTCTTTCTTGTCTCTGTCGGCCTAGAAAGAGGCTGCAAAGATCACTGAAGCTTTGCAACAGGATGAAGCCCCCAGCACCCAGAGCCAGCCTTGGTATCCTTCCCATCTTTGTCCTATTTCCACAGCTGCTCGAATCCAAGTTTCGAGTCTGATGCGGCGCTCGACTGCCAAAGTGTTCAAGCGGTTCAAGCTGCATCAGAAACCTACAGAAGCGGCAATTTCACACTGCGTTCCAAAGCTTCTCATGAAGCCTAGCAAGGGGCACTTCAACGGTGGACATTTAACAAAAAAAAGGCCCGCAGGTTGCCGACAATACCTCCTAAGCCTTCTGCAAGAGCTCCGAAGACAGCAGAGCGACAAAACTGCGCTAAACCTTTCAATCCTGTCCTTCTGCTGATCTGCCAGTCGCGGCAGGAAGACCCAAAGGTAGGGCAGTGAGCCACCTCGCAACTCTGACTTTTGGGCTGTTGCTCTCACTTCAGAATCCTGTGTCGTCTTCGTCATGTGCCACTTCTGTCCGCTGAAAAACGAGCTTTCGGAGTTCTTCTGACGGCTTCTCCGGACAACACTCGTCAGACAAGCACACAACGCTAGTTCAAGGCCGAATATGTACGAAGCAGAGCGACAAGAAGCGACCATGATTCGCACAAATGCGCACCAAACAGGAGATGCTGACACGAATAATGTCCAATCGAGGATGAAAGACTCAATATGCAGGCAGTCTTCAAGAGGGCAGGGTTCATGTTCAGAGTGCCCGAACCGTGTCCTCCGACAAAAACATGGAAAAAAGACCTACCTGCATACCTGCTGAATGAGGCTGCGGTGGAACTGTCGAGGGCCAAATCTCTGCCAAGAAGGAGGTTTGGACCACCACTCCGATCATTTCGAGCCACTACAAGTCGGTCTTCCAGCCAGAGACGTCTCGGAGAATCATCCATGCCTGCTGGTTTTGGGGTATGAGCTTTGCATGACAATGCCATGTCTGGCACGGCCGAGGCCCCATGCAAGGAAAGTCTTCCTTTGTATCCAGGAACCTGCTTCTTGAACCAAGAGCCCAAGTGCAAACCCTAAGTCCAAGAAGGCAGAGCCCAAAAGCCGGAAATCCATGAGCCTGAATCCTCACCCTCAATCCCTCAACCCTCAACTCCTAAACCCTAAAAGCGGATCGTGAGTCCGGGACTGCTCGGTGCCGGCTGAGGCGGCGGTCCTCGCTGCGGAAGGGCCCCAGAAATCGGAAGAGGGTTTGGAGTTTGGGGCTTACGGTTTAGAGGGTTGGGGAGGTATTGGGGGCTAGACTGTACTAAATATTCTCTTGTCGGGTGGGGGGAGAGGGGGGGTATCCTCTGCAATTTTCCCAGCTACTGAGTTTGTACAAGCATGCTTCAGCACAGAATGTCGGCATTTGATGAGACTCGTATCCCTCCAAGTGACTTGCGTTTAGTAGTATGGAGGTACGGAGCATTTGGGCTTTGTTTAGGGTCAGTCTAGGCGGGCTGAGTGCTTGGGATGTCGGTTCAGTTGCAGTGATCAAGATCCGTTGGCACTCTGTCCGTCACCCTCCGTCACGTAGAGCTGAACGGATCCAGACCCGCCAGCCTCGGCAAGCACACCGCAAGCAACAGGCCAAGAAGCACTACCTCTCGGAGAACCACCCTGCTTCAAAGAACATATATATATATATATATGTATGTATGTATTTATGTGTATATATATATATATATATATGTGTGTGTGTGTGTGGCATGCACTGCTCCGTCATTCTGTCGATATACCCACGTAGTTACTTATAACATGTTCAGGTCTACACACTTATATGTGTCTATATAAACAGATATATATATATATATATATGCATGTTTATTTATATATATATATACATACACATACATGTCTGGGGTTGTCTGTGCATGTACATAAGGCATATATATATATATATATATATGTGTGTGTGTCTGTAACATATGTATGTATACATGAGCTTACTCTCGCTAGCCGTGTATATATGCATATGTATATATATATATATACACATGCATACATACATACACACAACGATAGATAGATAGATAGATAGATAGATAGATAGATAAATAGATAGATAGATAGATAGATAGATAGACAGATAGA